GGCCCGCGGTGGCACAGCCCGCAGCTCTGTTTTCTCCCTCACAGGCTCCTCGCGGTTTGCTCCAGCGGTTACACAACACGCCCCGTTTTTTAAAGGAACGGCTGTTGTTAACGGAGAGTTCAAGGAGCTGAGCCTGGATGATTTCAAGGGGAAATACCTGGTCCTCTTCTTCTACCCCCTGGACTTGTGAGTGCGGATTTCTCCCCATTCAGATGGGCCTCCTGCCTTGCTGAAGGTCATCAGAAGTGCTGCAGATCATTGCTGTCTAAAGCGGCTGTTTTTACCTTATCCGAGCTAGCCTTGCAAGGCAGATGTGTCTGTTTCTAGAGCGTGAGCGATAAGACTTGGGGGCAAATGGCCATTGTGTGCTAAAGCAAGGGATCTGGTGGCTGGAGAGCATCTTCTAGCTGCTGGGACTGCTTCAGGAGGTAGATGTGGCCTTGCAAGTGTGGTTCCTCTTACTGCAGATCCCAGGGGTGAGGGCATTGCTTTGCAGTTTGGGGTTGCGTTGGAGACTCTCTTTTAAGCAGCAGGGCCAGCAGAACTGCAGCTAGACAGCTCCAGAGCAAAAGGTGAACAGACGAGGTTGAGCCTGTCCAGAAGACTTGAATCACCAAGAGCATCCTGGTGTACGTGGGCACGTAGGGGAGGATTTAATCTGCAGTCCTTTCTGCTATAGTTTCCAAAAACTCTCTGTCTAGAGAGTGCCTAGCAGAGACAGTTTCTCCATCTGCAAAAAATCTGTCTAGAACTGAGAGTTGAAAACTGGTGTGCCAGCTAGGTGGCTATGGCTGTTGCTTTGAGGCTGACTGAACCTAATCTTAAGGAGGAAACATGGTCAAAATTATCAGGCTAAAGAAAACATGCGGCTGCATTAGTGCCTAGAAACAGACACGAGTCTTTTCTAAAAAACTCTCTAAAAAGATTGCAGAATCATTACAGCCTGTTCTCTCTTCCCACCCAGCACCTTTGTCTGCCCCACAGAAATTGTGGCTTTCAGCAACAAGGCAAATGAATTTCATGATGTGAACTGTGACGTGGTAGCAGTTTCTGTGGATTCTCATTTTTGTCATCTGGCCTGGATAAATACACCACGAAAGGTATGAATTGAGCAGCTGTTTGGGACTTTCTCTGTTGGTTTGGTTTGTTTTCACAAGAGCTCCTGAGAAGAAGAGTTGAATAAACAATTGTGCAAACATCAATTTCAATAGACTGCCTAAAGTGATAGGTGAGGTGATTAACTTCTACATTTGATGACATAATTCTGACGTCAATCTTTGTTTCCTTGCTCTTTTCCTTAATCATTTTTTTTTATCTTTGTTTTGCTCTCTTAATAGTCTTGTAGGTTACATCATATCCTCATATGTTTATCTGAAAGACAAATGCTCATTATACACGTCACTGTCCTAAGCTTCTTGTTACAGCTGATGGTTTGTGTGCACCCTCACAGAAAATGAACAGCAGCTGTTTAGCCATTACTGTTAACCAATACCTAACAGTGGTGGCTTCAGAATGGAAGCAGAAGAACGATGAGTTTATTGGAGCACTTGTATTATTAACTCTTACTTGCTGAAATAGTTCCACTTCTGCAATGCAAACAGAGGTCTTCAGCTTTCTTCAGGGAAAGAAAGTGATAAAGACGGCCTTTTACTGGAGAGGAGCCTTTTTCAGATGTATATAAAAATGCCCGCTTTTGACCACATAAAGCACCTCACTGGTTTGGTTAGTTGTAGAGAACGAGAAGTGTCGCAGGAAGGCGCAGAAGCTGCTGTGCCATCAGTCGTTACCCATGTGGTCATGTGGACAGCAGTCTGCAGTAGTGCTGGCAGACTGGGCTGCCTCCAGGTGCGTAGCTTTGCCGTTGTAACGTACAGGGAGGGAGGAGAGTTTGCTAGATTTAATATGGCTTGGCTGAACCTATTGAGAGTATTTCATTTTCTGCATGCTTTGTTCAAAGCTCTAAAATGCGATTGTGGACTGACTTCATCGCTTTATGCGAAAGCTGTTCAGCGTATGCCAGTCAGGCATGGCTCGGTGCACGTGGAGCAAAATGCCCTGCAAAGGGCGGAAAGAATTCCGTGGTGGCGCAGACAGGAAACTGACACCCGGAGAAGCTAAGGCCTTGGTTTCTCCGACATCTGCGTTCAAAGCTCTGTGTATGAGAACTCTGCTGCAGGGTCTGAGTGACTGAGATTACACAATGATTCACTGATGATGCCAGGAATAGAAAAGCTAACAAACTCCGGGCTCATTTCAAGGATAGAAAGCTTATCTCTCTTGCAGTTCCAGTATGTTGCAAAACTGAAAGAAATCTTGGTTGACTCTCCAAATAGTATTTAAATTGATTTGGGGGAGGGGGGAAAAAAAACCTGTGCACTAAATAGAGTGAGCAACAGAACTCTGACATACCTAGGGTGGCTGTTAGAAGCCTTGAGTTTTGTCTGTTCATAGTATGCAGGTTTGTTTTCCTTCCCTCCCCACCATGTTAATCTTGTTTAATTTTGAACACTTAAATACACAGTAGAAGTTTTTGTATTCAAAGCTCCCGAATAGGGTACAAGGGAAATATTTCTGAAAATTTATGACTGTTGTCAGAGCTAGCCTTTTACCACCAAAATAAGCAATTCTAACATGCTCAGTGCAAAAGAAGTTTTCATGTTCCAAAGAAACAAAATGTTCCTGACTACTTTAAAAACACAAACAAACCAAACCAACCAAAAGCAACCAAACAAGGATCCCCTACCCCCCTGTGGTTCCTTTCATGCAGCAAATGGCACGAATGTGTTTTGTTGTTAGTATACCCTCAAGAGCACTGAATCCAGCAACTCAAGAAGGATAATGTTAAAAAGCATTTTGTAACAAAATGGAATCTTACTCTTTTCTCTAGAGCGGCGGTTTAGGCAAAATGAATATTCCAGTTCTGTCGGACCTCACAAAACAAATCTCCCGTGATTATGGTGTGCTGCTAGAAGGACCTGGCATAGCACTAAGGTAATGCATGATTGCCGATAACTCTGTTATGACACAACCCAGCCTAAAATGACGTGAGCCATACTGTCTCCTCCTGCAGGAGAAACTGCACAAGGATCAGATGAAGACTGTAAGATGTTACTTTTTCTGCAGAATTTCTGCTGGATCCCACCCTGGGAAAAGGGCACATGGTCATTATGGCCATTAAGTTGAGAATGGTTCCAGGTCTCTCTGAGAATGCATGCAGGGGAAAGCCAGCTATTCTCTTCTGAGTGAGTGGGAGAACTTCATGTCACTAAGGAAGACAAGAGTAGGATAGAAGAGCATTGTACAATTTTTTACATTTTTTCACAATTTAGGTCTGTCCCTTTTTTTTTTGTTGTTGTTGTTGCGGGTTTTTTTTGGGGTTTTTTGGGGCGTTGGTTGGTTGGTTGGTTTTTGTTTTCTTTCTTCTGAAGGGAGAAAAGACTGCCTTAACTTCTGTGTGAGAAGTTTCTAAAGCAGTAGTCCTAGAGGCCACTACAGTCAATCCCGTAATTATCTAGAATAAAAAATTTGACATTTCCTTCTCTATCATGGGAATACTTATTAAAAGCAAATAGTGGTCCTTGAGATCCATTGGATTGGGTAGGAGTCTTCTGGAGACCTTCGGTTCCTGATCTCTTTGGATGAAGAGGAATGTCAGGAACTTCTGACATTTGTTTGTTGACAAATTAAGTTAATTAATATGGTCAGACTGGGACTTTGGTTTTCACAAATGTTTATATGCAACAGGATTTCATTTAGTAGCTTAATGTGTAAGCAGCTCTTCACTCAATACCTTCGGATTTTCATATCAAAAAGACATGAGAAGAATGCCAACTATCAACTCTGAAATATAGGTGGAATTAGAAGTTCTACCTTTGTTACACATCTGTCTCGATTTAATAGTCTTTATGCATACTTTGTGATTTCACAATACCATGCCAGTTGACTGGTTCTTGGCTTTTGATCATTGCACTAACAAACAATATATCAAATGCTGTATTGCTACTCCTAACTCTGATATGTGCATCTAAGAATAACTGCCTTGCTGAAATAGTTCATCCAGTTTCTTGTGTTTGGTCTTGGAACGTGATTTGCATTCCCTGAATTCTTGCTCAATTACAGAGGACTCTTCATCATTGATCCAAACGGGATCATCAAGCATCTAAGTGTCAATGATCTCCCCGTCGGTCGTAGCGTGGAAGAGACCCTCCGCTTGGTGAAAGCATTCCAGTACGTGGAAACACATGGAGAGGTTTGCCCAGCAAACTGGACTCCAGACTCCCCTACAGTAAGCGTCTGCTAAATATCACTTTTCTAAATATAGACACTGGCATATTTTTGCATGTCTGAAGGGCTGAGAACCGCTTTAACGTGAGGTGCTTGACTGAATCTGTGCCCGTTGTCTAAATCTGAGGCTTTTATCGGTTGGACCAATTCAGTCTATTTGTATGATATTAAATATGTGTGATTTCTGTGAAGAAAGTCACTGATTTTCTTTCAGAAGACACAAATTGTATTTAAAACTCTAAAGTTGATTTGCACTCTCCACCTGTTGTCTTCAGATTTTTTACTTATTTAATGCCCTGCTTGATATTTAGCAGGAAAAATGTGTTAAAATTTGCAGGTAGGAGCTTGTACATCATTTAGGCCTTCATCTTTTAACCGAGTGCAGAAATAACCTATTGTTTTTATAAAGTATGCATGGATTTTCTTGGATAAAATGTCAAATCTGTAATTTTTGAATCTTAGTTATAGCATATAATAACTAAATTTTCTTTTCTTGACAGATCAAACCAAGCCCGGAAGCTTCTAAAGAATATTTTGAGAAAGTGCATACATAAACACTCAAAATATGTGGACAAAACTCTTAGTACCATACACTGAAGACATTAGGAAAACAGCTGTGATTATTAAAAAAAAACAAAAATCAAAGTTGTCATTTTCTGATGTTTAAAAAAAATTAAATGCTGAAGTATTTACTGACTCCCTTGTCTTGTTTTAAAAAGAAGGGTAAAAACTAAGGCTCCCCCCCCTTTTTTGCAACTTGTTTTATGAACTTCTGTGATCACTAGTTGTCTTCCTGAATATGACAAGTCCACAAAATACAGTTGTATTCCACTGAGTTTTTCCTCTTTCCTTAACTAGTTTTGGAGCAAGATGTGTCCCATGTTTTCTCTTCTCACACAAAAAATTATATTACGTATCAAGAGGTTGAAACAATGGGGACAAGACAGAAAATAGAATTTTGATACATGGTTTATTTTTATGAATTTTGCAAAGGAAGAGATGAATGTAACAAGTAAAGAAAAAAATATCCCCCTGTTTTTGTGTGTCAATGCACTAAAACTTGAAATAAATGTACATGTGCCATTTTAATCCTGCATATAGTCGAAGATGCAGTGCAGCTACACAGGAGCATTAACAAGCATGACGAACTTTCATTCTGCTTGGGGGATGGTAAAAACTTGAATCCCAAGAGTGTATTTACTGGAGCTTAATGACAAGTCTTCCATCATTTAAAGCATTGCTTATTTGCTTGAATCTCTGCTGTACTGCTTGGAAACAATGTAGCATATCTCTAGCTATAATAATAAATCTTAACATTGACTAGCAGCAGGTGTGTTGCTTTGCTTTTCTTTCACTTTTTCCCCAAAGATTCCCATTTCTCTATTTTGAAGAAGTTGGATAAGTTACATTGCCTTAGAAACTATCTTCTATACCTTTGTTCACAGCAAGCAGTTAACAGCTGGCACTGCCTCTGTGTGCATAACGTGGTGAGTCGGGCATCGACAGTGGGTAGCGGGTGTGCTGCTGAAGGGCTGGATGATCGATACAATACTGAATGGGGTTGTATTTTCCATCTTCTGCCCTTTTGAGCAGGGGAAAGGACTTAAGATAAACAGAAGCACGAGGGAACCACCTTTTCGAAGTGGCTGTTGTGTCCCAAGTTAGCTTTATAAGAGGTATCAATGCTGCAATGTAAGTGAAAGGATGAAAAAACGAGCCCGACGTTGCGCAGCGCCCGGTGATGCTCCAGGTTTCAGTGCTCGCAAATCTCTTCAGTCCCAGTGTTTTAGTTCTGTTTTGTGCCAATCCATGCAATTTTTCCAATAAATGTGATCTCCTGGACCTACAATACGTGAAGTTAAACCCCTGCGCAGCTCGGTGACGCAAAACAACACGCTGGCCGTGTTGGCGGCAGCTGTTTGTGCCTGTGAAGCCGCAGGGCAGCGACACACTGATCCTTTACCTGGCTGTATCCTTCTCTTACCTTAGCCGTTTTAAGTCAATCTGGAGGACGCAGGGGGTCTCTGCAGTACTGCTCCTTGGCTCTGCCTTCCCGGGTCGCGCAGGGGAGGAAACTGCTGGAAGGAAAAGGCGATCGGATCTTTCCTAAGCACGATCCGCTCCTCCCCGCTCCGGGGCCTGCCCTGAGGGTGCTCCCGCGCTGCAGGCCGCGGACCCCCGCTGCTTCCC